ACGAATAGAAAAACCACAGGATATTGCCTTAGTTGTGAGAACTCACTTGCACTTCAGCAGAAAGAAACAGCTCCTTAAAGTGTCATTGACCTCTCATAAACTTTATAGCAGTGCTTGGTTGTGCAACAACCTTAGAGTTTAACAGCACTGTTCTTCAGTATTGCATCACAACACAAGCATCACTGGGGCAATGTTGACCAGACTTTTCCTGCAGTCGCAGCTGATAGTGTCAAGGGCAAAAATGCATGCATTATCCTTTAAAGCATCAATCCGAGCTGCAGCCGTCAGGATGGAGCCAACACGACTGAGGGGGCTACCGATTTAATCTGCTTATCTTGACAGAAACATGTTGCTGCACGTTTCTGTGGCATGACCAATTCATTTTAGCCACAACCTGTGCGCTCCGGTGGTTTTTGCAGAAGATCACCCAAAATTTAGCAAAAATTACAAACAAAGGGATGCTGGAAATTTTCTCTCAACTGGACAGGAGGACAATGTACTTAATGGGTCACTGATAAGCAGTACCTACATTAGCCTCCAGTAGCTTAATAATTAAATGATAATATAATGGAGGAGAGTTCACTGATTTCTTACATTGCTTTAAACTGTTCTGGTTAGGATGGTGTTATTTAAATAGAAGTTTATGTAATCAGTCATTATATCAATGTGATCTCCATGTGGCTGTCTGTAGCCTCAAAACAACCTTGCAGGGCTTCTTCAGCTTCCTGTGACCATCTTCTTATAGCTCTTTTTAATGCAGGTTGCCTCATATAAAGTGGCTTATACTATGAGCAGAGAAAAACAAGATTGTGATCTGATTTCCAAGAGGAGGTCCTACTTAAAAATGAGGGGTCCTTGATTTTTGCATAAAACGAATCCAAATTATTTTGGACTTGTTTTATGCAAATGTACTGTATTATAGTATTTTGGACTGCAATGCAAGTTTCCTCTGGTATGGTAGCTGACAAACTGTGAACCTTGGGAATGTAGCAGAGAGTGAGGCATGCTTAAAATCACCAGTTATTGCCACAAATGCATTTGGCTGTCGGCATGGAAAGAATGTGAAATATACACAGTTAATAACAGAACACTGGTAAACTCTCTGGGCAAATAACATGGTTGGAAACCAACTGCCAGTACTTCTATATCTTGGCTGCAATGATGAATCTTTACAGTAATATGTCCTGTTGTTCACAAGCACTGCCAATTTCCTAGTCTTCTTTAAATCTCTGTCTGTTCATATGGTGAAAAGGCCTGGCAAATAGACGCTCGAGTCTGAGATGTGATCCTGCAGCCATGTTTCAGTAAAACACATTATGCTGCAATGCCAATTTTCTGCCTGGGTTCTTGCAAGGGTTTGGAGTTCTTCTAACTTGTTTCCTATAGATCTCACATTGTCCAAGATGATTGATGGAAGAGATAGTTTGAATTTCTTGTTCCCGTCTCATCTCCTTGCACCTGCTCTGCATTCAACTTAGACGGTACTTGCAGAAGAAGTTGATGAATTATTTCAGCCTCAGAGATGTTAATTAGCTGCTCCCAGGTGAGATAAAGCCAACTGGCTATGGTTACCATTGTTACGTATCATAACAAGTATTGAAAAAGGGAAAAAGAAGTAATAATTATCAATAAATACCATCCAGTTTCACAGCAGTCGACAATGGAACCATAAAAAAAAATCTGGAAAAAAAAAACTCCATAAACAAAGAAATTAAAGTTCTCATAAAAAAGAATATCAGAGTCAAGCTAGCAGTGCCACTCCAACATGCAGCCACCTTAAGCAGCCCAATTCTACTGTACAACAAACTGATCAGATCTATAATTGATTATATCTATCAAGATATCCATATTTTTTAGCACAAGTGGCAGGTATAGATGGTCTCCATTCTCCAACTAGTGTGCTTCATGAGGTGCAGTGGCAAAACATCCTAAAGCTTTCACACCAGTACATGGTTGCTAGGTGTTCTTACTTCCTACCAGTCCTTTATTTAAACTAGTAATGCTGGTCAGCTCTGCCCGCAACAGGGCAGACGGACACTTATCTCTCTAATGTAATTGGACTGAGTAGTGGTGCAGATCCAATTCCATTAATGGAGAAGGTGACTCAGTTTCTGTCATCACCTAAAAATAGAGCAACTGATCTCAGCCATATTCAGAAAAAGGGCTGATGGAGGTTTAAAAAAAAAAACTCCATCTAGTCAGATTGAAGATGGAGAGGTTTGACGTAAGCTTATAAAAGCATCCAACAAGACTGCTAGGAATTCACTGCTTCCCTTCATCTAATCACCCCTCCTTTTTAAAGAGAGTGTCAACAGGTTGCCAGCAGGGCTCAACTGGAGGCAATTAAAATGCTCAGTGAAGTGAGACATGGGGCAGATGGTCAGGCAAAATGTGGCACAAACCAGCTTGATGCACAACTGGTAACACAGGTTTCCTCTGATAAGGTCTTTGCCGTCCACGGTGCCAGAAGTCAATCTGTACTCACTAAATGACTCAATCTACGGAATGTTCTGGGTTTTAGAGACAGGGCTGTCTGAAGAACCATGCGAGTATAAATCCAGGTCTTAAAAAAACAGATGGGGTCATCAACATAAGGATTAATATTGGCTAAAATAAGGAGCAAGACAGCTAAATTACCCATTAGACTTTAAATCTACAGCTGTAGTCAGAAGTTAGGAGGGGAAACATTTCAGATGGACAGATGCTGACCGATTATTTTGACATCAGTCTAACAGATCGCCAATATCGCTGTTATTTTTGAGCCGATTCTTAGACTTGATATTGCTTTTTCTTCCCCTACTTACATAATAAAATTACAACAATGATAACAAACGTTTCATTTTAAACAAAAAACAAACATTTAGTAACGAATTAAACTAAACATGACACGCAAATAGAGGGAGGGGTAATGTATGTGCTTCAGGCGACTCCAAGGCAGGGAGGCTGGATGCTCTAATGCACTAGTTCCTAAACTTTTCCTGCTAAATACTGGCTATCAATCTCTAAACCTGCACCAAATTTCCCAGTAACATGTAATAAAATACAATTTACTTTAAATGCTAACAACAACCACAAATATCGGCCGGACGATGTATCGGCCTGTCTCTAGGAAAAAGGTTAATAAACAGCCAGTAGAATCTACAGGGTCACCAGTGTTTCTGTTACCAGGCAGCCAGTTGGACATCACTGTGGACTGATGATAACTCTAGCATCTTCAAGCTCCATTGAAGTCTGCATCTCTCCCACCCGGATAGCTACAGCTTCTTCTGGAGAGAAGTTTGATGATCATGATGCTAAATCTTCTGTACCTACTGTCCTTTGGCATAATGATGCTTTAAATCCCAGCAAAACTTTACCACCTGCAAAGTAAAGGGGTGGTAGCATCATGCTGAGGCAATAATGTAGGGCGGAGGTCTTCAACAGGGGGTCCGTGGGGTCCGGAGGGGTTGAATGTATGTGGGTCACGAAAGTTTTGGCTGATTAGACTTTTTTTATATTCCCTGCTGCAATTTTTTCTCCAATAATTGAAATGTCTTTAATGACACATTAACATGAATTCAACACACTGTAGTAAACAGATAAGTGGAGGCAGAAGATGTCTTTCAGTCATCAATGCACACATTCAGCGACACACAGGAGCTCTTTCAAGCTGGGCACCGTTTCATTCACACCTGTCCCATCAACCAGGAATCAGAATAAGAAATATTTTAACAGGGATTATACAGGAATGAATAACTCAAATTTAATGCTTTTTATTGCTCTTTTAATGCTCTTAGAAATAATTTTAACACCACCAACAGGTACCCGTCGACAGGCTGCAGCTATGTCCCAAAATTCCTCGTTTTCCAGTCACTTTTGTTGAAATTTGCTTTTTCCCCCCCATTCTCTAGCTTTTTTTTCTGAACATACAGCTTTGCGATCAACCAGAAGCAGTTCCACACAAATATATTGTGATATAATATGTCAGACGAAATTGTTTTTATAAAAAAATTGTTTTAATAAAGCATTTTAAATGCCACAATAAACACATTTAATGAATTCTAATGCCAATTAAGGCCTTAATTTAAAAAATAATTTAATGACTTTTAATGATTTTTAATGACCCACGGAAACCCTGTTTATTAATCTCAGAGTGAAATTACTTTCGTTGCATTGCTCCATAATAGAGTGACTATAGGGCCAGTTTGATAAAACACAATTTCATACAATATATCTATATAATTAGGGGTCCCTGCTTCACCTCGCCATCAGTTTGGGGTTCCTTGGCCTGGAAAACGTTGAAGAAGATTTCACCAGAAGAAACTTGGACACAACTTGAGTCCAAAAGGTCCAAAGACACTTCCAAAGAGGTTTTGAAAAGAATAAAGCAAAGTATTGAAATTTTTCTGGAAGTCGGCTCTCTTCCAGGATCAACCAAGGACGGTTGTTGATGGCAACCAGAATCATGAAGTAAAGGTGCAACTTATAAGTCCAGACTTTATTTTCAAATATTAAAGTTGTATTGATCTAATTAGTCTGCATTTATAAATCTGACCTTTAACTAAAGAACTTCCTCAAATGTCAAGGTGTGTTAAAGCCTGAAGAGGCTTCATGTAGGGCAAATTTACTGGCTGCTTCAAGTTAAAATTTAATCCAGTGGTTGTTTGTACAGCCCAGGGTGAGCAGCTATTTAAAGCTTTGTTTTATTTCAGTGCTGAGCTGGGAATGAGCTCCTTAGATAAGAGAAATAACCAGATGTTTATGTTTGTAGATCACCTGCAGCCTCCCACATGGCTGTGGAATGCAGGCCTTAATGTTGTTCCCTACAGAAGATCCACCAGAACCAACTGCTCAGAAGTTTCTCATCATATCAGAGACGTTTAACCGCCCTGTTGTTGCTGCACCAGGACATCCCCATCAGCAGCGGTTATAAGCGCTGATTCCGGGGCTCTGTCTGCTTGGGCCTCCGCTCAGACCAACACCCAACATGAACACAGAGAGAGGAGGTGTCATTCCTTTACCTGGGGAGTAGAGCCGGGCCAGCTGACGGGCCCCGGCGTGCTGCGGCCCCCAGCGAGGCGCCGCGCTGCGTGCAGCCGCGCCATGCTCGTTCCCGTTCGGATCCTCCTCCGCCATGGACCGCTGCCTGATGTCGGTCTCCGAGAGAAGCGACGCCGCCATGGCTGCTACCCGTTATCCCTCCTCAGGTTTGGGCTTTCAGTGAGCAAGCATGAGCCGGAGCTGCTTATCGGCGCTGGTTGGGTTCGGTGTCCGGGCCTCCGGAGCTGCTTATCGGCGCTGGTTTGGTTCGGTGTCCGGCCGGGCCTCCGGAGCTGCTGGGCTGACCTACAGGAGGAGGCAGGCTGGAGCAGGTGATGGAGAGACTGGGCTGTAAAACCCGGAAACGCTCCGCTGACACACAGACCTACTTCTGAGCAAATAACGATGCAGCTTCAATATTTAACCTGACTAAAAATCTTTAGCTGCAGAAATATAACATTTGTTTAAATGTAATGAACAGAGTTTTACTAACGGGAAATGTGGCGTTAGGGACCGTCTGCAAATTAATTTCAGCTCTAAAGTGGACAGCAACACATTAAAAAAACAAGCAATTTTCGATTAACTGCACTTTTTTAATAATTAAAAAGGGTTCCGTTTTATTTCAAATTATAATATTTGATCAGTTTCATTATATCAACATAAAAACTTTTTTTTTTAAATTGGATTTGTTTAACCTTTATTTTCATAGGTTCCCAATGAATTTGTTGTTATTGCTTCAGATTCAAGCTGAAAAATTTTAAGCGAGGAAAATCCTCAGATGAAATTGACATTTTCAATATTATTATCTGCATTTTATTTATATGATAATCTCTCAGCCCCCTTCATCATGGAAGTGAAATAGTCTCATTGGAATCAGCCTTTTTTTTTTTTAATACTGAATTTTACCTCCATACCTATTCTGAGTAGGATACTCATTTAGCATCAACATCATCTTCCCGTCACCATGGATACAGCCAGCATCATTATCATCTACACCCCCATCTGCTCCTTTGCAGTACTGCAGTCATAAATTCACTTTGGTTTCCAGTGCCACCTTCACTTCCAAAGCCATTAAGTCCACCATCATCCTCTCCATCATCATCATCCTTCCCTTCAGAGCACCAGACTCTCTTTGAATCTCCTCCACCAGTCCTTGGTCTCCATTTGTTCAGTTGCAGTTCCTGTGATCCTTCAGGAGGCTGAGGAGAGACCACCTCTCTAGATTCCCAGGTTTCACAGAGGGAATCGAGGACAGCCACTGAGTAATACAGTCAATGATAGTCCTTCGTAGATGAGAGAAAAATGCAGTTTCTTCCCCCAGAGCTTCCCTGTTTTATCAGGTGGATACAACAGACTGATCATCTTTGGATTGATTTGATGAGTCTCATCTCAGGTAACAGCCCAACCTCCAGCTAATCATTCCACGCCTCACTGTTGGTGTCTGAAGCCTACAAGACGTCCTACCCTGCCCTTTTTTAAATAGGTTTACCTCCAGTTCACCCCCAGACACTCCTCTGTGGCAAAACGAACCTCTGGCCTCATGACTTACCTTGATTTTCTTTTGTTAAACCTTTATTTTTTGTATCATCTTCCCCCATATTAGCTCATTTAGGGCTCAAGTCCCAGCTTACCCTAAAATATATGTAGTATTTTCCTTTCAGGTAAGTTTTAACATGTAATTTATTATTTGGAAAGTAAATTTTGGGGACATTTGCAAATTATTTTAATTGTTAAAAGTGGAAAAGTTAGCTAAAATCAGCCAAAATTTTCAACATGGAAATATATATGCTGTGAAATATATATATATATATATATATATATATATATATATATATATATATATATATATATATATATA